TGATGATGGGGGTGGTGGAGGCAGAGACTGGTGCTGGGGGGGATGGGGGGGTATTTTGAGCAGACTGTCTCTAAACAAAGGTAGCCCTGTCTGTCTGGTCTGGTCTGGCTCTTCGTGGATGTGTGTGTGTGTGTCTGTGTGTGTGTGTGTGTGTGTGTGTGTGTGTGTCTGTGTCTGACACTCTGACCTCTGCATGTCTGAAAAGCCTTTTTTTTCCTCCCACCTTAAAACCCAGATAACACACTCCCGTCGGCATTTAAACTATTTAGTCTTATAAAATCTCTCAACCACAACAGAGACGATGTTGTTTCTCTCCTACATTTACGTTTTTTTTTGTTATAATCTGTCGAAAAATCCAGTTAGAAATCCCACAAACTGATTGCTCTGATTCACTGTCAGACGGTATTTCAACCGTATCAACCACATCTGACGCTGTTTTAATGTTGCATCCTTTTTTTCCGCACCTTTAGATAAAAAAAAAACTAATTTCTCCAATTTTCTCCGTAAAGCAAAACAGACGAGTGAGCCGGGTGATTAAAAAATCTGCACATGTGCAGCATCTGTTCATTGATTTTTTTTGTATCCGGGAATCTCTTTCCGTTTTAAGCGCGGCTTCCTTCTCTTTCACTTAACTGCATGGATTCATGCTGCATTTGATCCTGACGGAAAAACGAGGGGAGCGATGGCGTCCCTTGTGTGTGTGTGTGTGTGTGTGTGTGTGTGTGTGAGTGTCTGTGTGTGTGTGTGTGTGTGGTGGCTCCCTGTGCTTTAGCAGCTTTTGGTTTGGGCAGAGCTTTTCCTGCCTTTGTCTTGTTAAAAACAGCCTCTGATTGCAGCTAATAGAATGAATCCGCTGGTGTCACGATGACCTGCTAACCGCATTACAGCTGTGTGTTGATAAACAAGTTGAGACCATTTTAAAGAGGACTACTCGATTAATTTCACAGGAGCTAGCTTAGTTACTCCTTAAAGATTCAAACTAATGCAACTGGGTAAAAAACAAAAAAAAACTCAAGTTCTAGGCCGATTGGAGTCGGTTCAGACTTTTAAACTGACCTGGGTTTGTTTTTGTCTTCCTTGCAGCCCAGCTGGAGTTCGTCCAGATCTTGGTGATCGTGGTGGTCATGATGGTCATGGTGGTGGTCATCACCTGCTTGCTCAACCACTACCGCCTGTCGGCGCGCTCCCTCCTCTCCAGACACGCCCCCGCGCGCAGGAGGCACCTGCCGCTGGCCAACGTAAGTCCCAACTCCGTCCGCTCGTTGCAGGCCTAATGGGGAGGGTCAGTCGGTTGGACGATGTGGAACGTGTCCAGAGAGTGATCGAGGGGCGTCTATTTCAAGACGCGTGAGCTGGCCTACACCTGAGGCTTCCTCTAACATATGACTTCACTCCGGCTTCTACTGAATACTACTGCTACTGAATCACTGTGTGTGTGTACGTGTGTGTGATGGTTTGTGCAAGTAAGATATGAGTGAAGGGCGTAGCGCAAACGCGCACAAACGCACACACATTCAAAGACCTTTTGATGAGCTCAGGGGAGGCACGACGTCCCACTTAATTTGGATTAGCCGTCAGACACGTTCAGACTCACACAGGCAGGAGACCGTCACCAGATTCCGACCAGAAAACAGAAAGGGAAAAGCCACTGACAGTTGTGCTATCAACTTCACACATGTGGTGGTTTCTCCTCAGCCGGGGCAACCCCCACCAGTCCTTGAAGCCGGACTGGCGTGAGCCTCCTTGGTCAGATACCACCGTCCAGCAAACAGCAACTGAGCCCTCTGCTGGACAAACTTAACTTTACCTCGTTTTACAGTTTAGTTCAGGGGTGTCAAACTCCAGTCCTTGAGGGGCCGCTATCCTGCAGGTTTTCGAGGTAACCCCTTTTTCAACACACCTGATTCACATCAAAGGGCCATTAGACCGGTGCAAAAAGCTCAACAATGTCCAAAGGAGATCCAATTGAATAAGAATCAGGTGTACAGAAGCAGGAAAATGTCTAAAACCTGCAGGACAGCGGCCCTCAAGGACTGGAATTCTGACACCCCTGGTTTAGTATGTTTTTTTTACCTGACCCCAACCGTGGAGTTCCTGGTAGCCACTAGCTGAAGCTGCCTGTAGGGTTTGTGGTTGGACCCGATAGTGGGATGACGGTGGTGTTTTTCTCTTCGCAGGAGGGAAGTCTGTGGTCCTCCGAGGGCACGGGAGCGAACGGGGGCCTGAGCGAGGTGAGCGAAGAACCGAGCTCTGCTTACAGGTCCACGGGCCCAAACGGTGTCCTAAGTGTTGCCCGATCCTTTCCGCCAAAGCACCAGGTGTACAACCCGCGGCCCCCCGACAGAGCGGTCCCCTCCTACCTGCAGCGGGACCTGCAGCAGAACCCGTCCCACCCCCCGCCGCTCCACCCGCCGCGCTTCCAGCACGCCTACGCGCCCGGCCGCTTCCAGCCCACCTACCCCTACCTGCCCCAGAGCCTCATCGACCTGCCCCCGACCATCTCGCTCTCGGACGGGGAGGAGCCCCCGCCCTACCAGGGGCCCTGCACGCTGCAGCTCAGAGACCCCGAGCAGCAGATGGAGCTGAACCGGGAGTCGGTCCGAGCCCCGCCCAACCGAACGGTGTTCGACTCCCACCCCCTAGACCCGTCCAACTCCTGTCTGCAAGCCAGGTAACCACAAGCGAGACCGTAGACCGTAGCACTCCTCTAACCGGGAAGTAGGCCCAAAGCCACTACGAGTAACAAAAGAAACTGACTTTTGGCCTAACTTGCACCGGAAGAATGACATTTACTTAAGATTTGGCCAAAAATCCAGGTGAATAGAAGTTGTTCTGAGTGAGTTATAATAGTCTTTGTGCTCACTTTAAGGTAATGGTGTTCCTAGTTTGAAAAACTTTTAAGAAATGGATCGGGTTCATGCAATTATGGGGTCTAAAACCGACTTTGTACATTTACTAGACCTCCTGGAGTTTTCATATCCATCCATCAGTGTTTTGGGAAATTGTCCCAACAATGTATTTCTGTGAAAACGTAGAGGTTTATAGTAGGTTTCTGTGTCCTGGCGCTTTGTAGATGTCAGAATATGCAGCATGCTTAAAAGCAGCCTAAATAGATTGAACAGCAGCCTAACTCTCATCTTATAGATTCCTAATACTAATACAAATATGGATTCTTGTCAATAAAAATGAGAGCAGTAAAAGGATGTCGGTTATGATCAAACGCCAGGATCTGCTTTGACAATTCCTTAAATTATTTGATGGGTTTTCTGCTATTGCTGGACCCGGTATACTTCCTCCATTTTTATTTCTTCCCTGTTGTTCTGCCCTCAGTCTGCAGGCCCCTCCCCCGAGCGTCCATCCGGGCATCAGTGTGCTGGAGGCCCGGGAGGCCTTGTCCAGACAGCAGAAACCGGGTTCCGGGGTGGAGGCCGCTCCCCCGGCCTACAGCGAGGTGATCGGGCACTACTACCACCCCGCGTCCATCGGCTCAACCCACCGGACTGTTTCGTCCACGCAGGCGCCTCCGTCCTCGCTCATACACGGCCTGCTGAGACCCCCGCCTCAGCCGCAAGGAGGTGTGGACAACAGGAATACAAGGAACACAAAGGAGAAATCCCAGAAGCCCCAGCAGGTGTGACAGAACTGCTTTCGTCCTGCTGGCCGGGCCCGCCAGTTGGGTAATCATCTGCGAACGGTGAGGAGCGATGAACGATCCCCATCCACGGCAACACCCCCCCCCTCCGACTGCTTCAAAGAACTGGTTGATTAGCTTGGTTCTAGCCGGCGTGTGGTCAGCCGGCTCGGGCCTCCACAGACGGAGGGAGGGCCTATAGGGGCAGGGAAACCACCAGACCCACGGAGGAACGTCTGGTCCTTCCGGTTCACCGGGAGAAGCACTTCAGATGAACTCACGATGTCGGAGGAGGTGGGCGGATGATGGAAAAGAGGACGGTGGACGCAGAAAACCCGCCTCCTCGGCCCTCCTGGATCAGGCTAATCTCTATATTCCTCATTCATTATAAATATTTACATGTTCTGTTTGTTACTAGATAACTTTTTATTTTGACTTTCGGTCTCTCGCCCGCGAAAAAGTTTCAATCCGCTTCCTTCAGGGTTCGCTCTGTTTCTTGTGATAATCCCCGTGGCTGCTTCCAGTCCCTTGTCCCGTTTTTTTCTGTTCTCCGCTTCGCTCTCTCGCATCTGCAGCGACTCCTGCATCGAGCTTCGGCTTTATCGCCGGGACGCATCGGCACGTTCTTCTGTATTCCCCGGAAAGAGTTTTAGATCTTAGTTAGCGTTATCCCAAACTAGCCCGCCAGTTGTAGCACAGTGCTAATCTAGACGTCCCGGAGCTGAAAGCTCTGCCTTACTTCCAACAAATGCCGCAGGAGATCCTGCTGAGATGCTTTTTCTTTGGTTGTTTTTTTTTGGACTTCATGTGTTTTGAACAGGGTTTGCACAAAGTTTGAGACTGTTCACCGCAGATGACGACAAAAAATCTGCAGTTTGAGAAGAAAGAAGGTGGAGGAAGTAGGGGTGTTTTTCTAAACTTGATGCATTCTTAAAAAGTTTTCCTTCCCCCCTATTGGTTTCTATTTGTTGTCTAGTTTTAGGGAATGAGACAAGCATCAGTAATCCGTTGGGGTGCCAACTTCCACCATTTTGCATCATACGTGTTATATTCTGTACTTATGGAGCGTATACACACACACGTATGCAAAACCAGAGTGGAACGCACGCATTTAGAGTTATTTATATAATTGCTGAAAAGAATTGCACTATTTTTTTAGAATGCGAAGATGGAGCGATCGAAAGACACTTGCGAAGGAGCTCTGTTCATTGAGGCACGAAAAGGGAAAAAACGGGGCGGGCGCGGTGCACGGCGGCCGCCGTCAACCATTCATGGGGAAGACGCTAACTTTGGTCCCACGGACTCCGACCAACCATTACTTTACCGCCGATTTTTACGAAAAAAAATCTCTGGTTTATGCAAATGTCTGAGTCCCGTGGGCCAATCGAAAGTTAGCGTCCGACCTGCGGGCTCAATCAGAAACCGATAGCTCGCTCGCTCTCTCTCTCTCTCTCTCTCTCTCATCCCATTGGCCGAATCATTAGCCAATCCCAAAGCTGGCTGCTACTACCTCGACCAAACAAGTCAAGCACATAAGAGTTTGTTGATATTAATCAGATTTTGTCACGTTAGAGTAAACGTCTGAGCTAATCAAGACGATGTGCATCGTTTAACGATAGAAAGTAGAGTAGGGCGTCTTAAGGCTAGGTTTTCGTATCCTGCTGTGTTATGTTGTTTGAATGTCCGAATTTTTGTTCACCGGGTGAGAGGAGAGAGATCCCTAACGCCCCCGTTGCAGTGCATTACTCAGGAAGGAAGCCAGTCGCCCGGCAGGTCCCAGAATGCCCGACGCCCTGGCTGTGCACTGCCACCCCCCGAGTCCCCCGGTTTCTTTACCAGTTAGCGTCGCCCCCCCGCCCGCGCCCCTCAACCAGATCGCTCGGCGAAATCTCGGCCTCTCGCGGGCATCTCTGAGCACTTTATCGCACCAGGAAAGAGCCAACAATCCCCCCAACAGCCAGCCTCAGCCTCAGCTCGCAAGGGTTACAGGTGGAAATTTAGAGTTCAGAGTTTAGAGCTTTTAAAGGATGCAAAGAGTTGCGCGCCAAAGCTTCACGCGTTTCAGACGGGAGCTAAACGTCCTCCTTTACCTCTCCGGTCTTACCGCAAACTGACCACTTCTTCTGTGGTTTCGTGATGAAGCTTTGGAACGAAGCTCTTTGAGACTCAAACGCTGCACGGACTGGCCGTCGAAAAACCAGACACACTGAAGTGTTGACAAGTGACACGAGTGTCGGTCGCAGCCTGTCCCGTGTTATCTCTTTAAAAGCGTAGAATTAGCTCGTTTTTAGCCTCTTAAAGTGGAAGAAGGAGGCCCATGTAAGCACCCTCTAATGTCCTCTCTTTATGCAATTCAGCGCCCTCCACTGGAACCAAACCAGACTGCAGCCAAAAGTCCTTAAACTGACCTAACAGCAGCCAGAGGAGACCCCCAAAGGCCAAAAACTATATTTTGTTATCTGATATGATGCATTTTTCTTTGTTCTATTAAACTAGTTTGTGCTTCGTAGGATCTTTGAAAACACAGAACCAAAGAATTTGCTCTTTCTAACCACAGGCAATCTTTGGAAATCCCAGATGTTCCTATAAAAACACTTGCACATGTTTTAAAGGTATTTTCTGAATCCTTAAAGACTCCTATAATATTGAGGGAAACTTCAAGAGGGCATTTTTTGGAAGGGAAAATCATCCGGATCAGCATCCAAATTAAACTGGCTTTCACTCTAAGCATTCTCCAACTACCCAGTGAGCTTAATTAAATTTGGCTCAGTATCCTTTATGTAATGTTTGGAACAAACAGAAAAACTAATGACACTAATCATCAATGACGTTCTAAAATCAAACCATTCATTTTTGTTGGTTACTTTTTATTGTTTTTAAATATGTTATCTGTGATTAGGCAGGTTAAGGATTTATTTCTGCAAATGATTGAAAATCCAGATGGTTAGGAGTCTTTAAGGGGTCAGTGATTACTGATAAAAACTAAAAGTCAATCAAAAGTCATACTCTTTTAGGCCCCTTTTTTTTTTTAGTCTCTCCTTTGACCTTTGCTGCGTTGTATTCGATAGCAAGCACTTGAAAGAGAAAAATCCAAATTTAGAATCATTAATCTCTTGACCCAAAGTAGCTGCAGGAATGACGATTCGATTCAATCAAAGTATGAATCACCACTGTGATCACCTGTGTTCGGATCAGGCTGTGTCCTTTAGAAAAATTGGTTTTGGGTTCCTGTGTGGAGGGTTCTGGTGAGACTGGACTGGATTTTATCGGAGCACGAGAAAGAAAAAAAGCCCAATCACTCGTATCAGGGAAAGCTTTGCTGGCTGACAACGCAAAAATGATAAAGAATTTTTTTTAAAAGACGGGAGGAGGAAGAGCGGAAGCCCAAAACGAATCACACACTCGTACATCAGAACACACACACACAAACGCTGGTGTGTTTACACGTAGGCAGGAGGAAACAGATGTTTACCGGGGGTCTGTTTCAAGTGTTTTTCTTTTGCTTTAAGCCCGGGTTAGCTGGCAAGTTGGAAAAACCCTAATGCACGTTATGTGTGTGTGGCAGAGTGTAAATGTAAATGTACACCAATTTGGCCTGGGAAAGACCTCCAGCTGTCTAGACAAAAACTAAACACACACAACCGCACGCCCAGCAGACTAAACAAACTAAACTAAGAACCAGACCTTACACACACACACACATACACTACACAGAAACACACACACACTTTAATTCATTCAGTGCTTTTTTTCCCTTAATCGCGGACCACACAAGATACAGAAAACAGGAAAAAAAATACATTTATCTCACACACCTGGCCTCCCTCCTCCTCCTCCAACCCCCCCCCCCCCCCCCTTAACAAACAAGCTCTTCCTGTTCCCAAGAGATGCCTGCTGCCCAATGACAGAGCTCCTTCTACAGCCGGCCTTCGCTGCCATTGGCCGGCTGTCTTTCGGTCGCCGTGGAAATGTTAGTTGTTTGTTATTGTTGTTGTTGTTGTTGTTGTTGCTATGTCGTACAAGTGTGCCTGCCTGTGCTGAGACGGGCGAAACGTGAGTGGCTCGCTCGGGTTTGTCAATCGTCCCCGGCCACGCTGTCTCAGATGATGATGATGATGATGATGATGATGTTTGGATGATGGTGATGAGATTGATGAAGATAGATGTTTTTGATAGTCATGCCGCAAAGATCGTTGCAATACACCTACTATTTGCCTTTTTGATAATATTAGTCATATTTTAACGTAGTGTGTTAAATGTAAGATTTTTTTTTTTAATTGTTGTTGTTTATTCACCTGAGTAAAGAAAGTTATTTCACTTAAAGTAAATATTCACACAAAAACTGATTTTTTTAAAAATGTTATTTTATTATTTTTTTTCATAGTTTCCGTTGTAAACATTGAGAGTTTAACACTACCTACAGCAACACACCACGTTTGGGGTGGACGTGTAAATCCACAACATGTGCTTCTGTGTTGAAGTGCCCTTTCCAGTTTAAGGTTCAAGTTTAATCCTTGAAGGTTCACGAGAGGACGAATGCAGTCTTTCCCCCTCGATTTTTCTGTTCGAGCACGAACTCCTCCAGCACTAAAGCTCGTCTTTGTAAAGTTTGCTGGCTCTATGGCGTCTACATGTGTGCCTTCTGGTGTCCAATACGAGCGGAGACTTAGCGGCCGACGCTCCATGACTGTTGCCTTTTGACACAAAACCTCAGACAGCACTGAAAAAAACAACAAAAAAAGCAGCTGTAATAAAAAAAAAGGGTTGAGTTTGGATTAAGTGTGGCTCAAAAATTTTTTGAAAAAGTGAACACCTGCTTTAAAGCGGTTGCGTATTTTTTCCTGCTATCCTTTCATCTTTTTTCCAGCGGCTTTTCACTCGTTTCCAGATGGTGAAGACATTTCGGTTGCCTTCCACCACGTTTCGTTTAGGAAAAAAAAAAAAAATGGAAGAACTTGATGTGGAATTACATGTTTATCGCCAATCCCTCCGAAATGGAGAACGATAAAGTGTGTGTGTTGGGGAGGCCTCGTCCCCTTTTGTGTTTCTGCTCTCCTGTGTTCGCTCTGTTCCTTGAATCAGCGCCTTGCGTGGCGCCTTTTTCTCTGACAATGTTAAAGAAAAAAAACGTGTGATGACACTTTTTTTTTTTTTTTTTTTTTTCAGTTCGTTGGGTGTGCGTTTTTTAAGAAGCCTCCGTATCCCTACAGCGCTCTGGTGCTCGTGACTGTTGTAGAAGTCTTCCACTTGTTGTCTGAGTTTAATCCTGCAAGCATGTCAAATGTGGGACTTGTACAATAGATGAGTTTTGTCGTGCTCGGGGTTCCTACGCGCAGCTGGTCCAGATGTGTTGGAAGGGGGTGGCCGGACCAGATGTGAGAGCTAATGTGGGAACCCTGATCCGTCACTAAACTCTGGAGTTTCCTTCTTCTCGGGTTTAGCACCTGGCTCATCCCTTCCATTGCAGACCGGTGGAACGACATGAACACGGTGCTAAAAACGTCCAGGGTTCAACTCCAGTCGGTCACCTGTTACAGCATGATTCACACACTTATATAGAGGTCTATTTTATTCTCAACGATAATATCTGCTTATTTGTGTATCGAGACAGTAAATCTTAATTTATATTCGTGTCGCTGGGATTGTTGTTATTTTCTTCTCTGTTACAAACAGATGACAGCGGTTTATCGTTGTTCCAGAACCTGGTATGAATCAGAAACATTTCAGTTAGCCTTTGATTTAAAAACAAAAAATAAAAAAATCAATAAAAAGTTTTATAAGTACCCCTCTGTGTTCTCTGCTTATGTTCCACGACAACAACAACACAATGCAGCTCAAAATAACTAAGTATTTAAGGAAACAAATTGAAGCGTTTGTATATTTTACAAAATAAATAACATAAAATGAGAGTTCAAGCAAAAATTGTCCATTGATAAATACATACTGAGTTATTTTACAATAAACACTTCTACACACACTGTTTGTGTTACCATTAGATGAAATGTGCATCCAGGATGGGCGGCAATCAGAGCCAATCACGCTGACTCCGAATGATGATAATAGCAAGGCCATAGATACAAAACAAAATGAACCATTTAAGAAGATCAAAAGCTGTGTTTTAAAGAAAAATACAAGATGTGGAAAGTGGTTTAGATGTTTGATGCTCTGTGAAGTTTTGAAAAGTATCTCTGAAAGGCGTCTTTGAAAGTTGTGTTTCCATTGAAATGTGATACTTTGTTTTTTTGCTTTGTTCTTGAGTTATTTTTGCATGTTTTGCATTGAAATGTGTTGTTGAAAGGCACCTTGATACAGAGAGTGGCCATGGCTTCCCTTTGATCTTTTGCACAAATGTTCCCTCAGATCTGAAACGGACGAAACACCTGCGCTCATCCAGCAGGTGGCAGACTTTTGCTTGTTTTGAGGGGGGGTTTAAGTCGTTACCTGAAGCTTGAGGGAGAGTAAATACACAGGAATAAAACCTTTCGAAGCAGGTAAAGATCAGACCTGGGCTGGAACATGTCATCAGCTCTGTGAGTCAGTATAAAGAGTGTTTGTCATTTCAGTGGCCACACAAAAACAAAATAAGTTTAAAAAATAACACCTGGAGCAACCTAAAAGATTAGATAACATCAAAACTGCACAGGGACATTGTTTGCCACCACCGTGTCGTCATGTGGAACAACATGAACATTTAGATTAAGTACAGAAAACCTTTTAAGATGTCTTCTTTAAGCATCCATTTTATCCTTCTCATAGCAGCTAAAGATTAAAGCACACCAGAATAGATGGACCCACAGTGTTTAAAGCATTGAAGATACTCTTAGTAAACCCCTAATGATCAAATTATTTACATCAAAGTGCAGACAAACTGCTTCCGATCAGTTTATTTAAAAGCTCTTGTCTTGAACGTTCCAGACAAACAAACTACTTTTGTATGATGTTTCCCATAATTTCTTTGCAAATTGGACTAAAAGATTGATTGAGCTCCTGCATGGAGGTTTTATAACAAAAGACATCCATGAGTGAAAAAACTTCTTCCATGACATCGACATTAAAAATGCCAACAGATTTTCTGTTTAGCACCAGGTGCCTGAGCCAGGTGGTGCTGCCTAACACCCGCTGGAATCTAACGATCTCCAGCCCGAGCCAAAGAATTTGGATGTTTTATCGCCCAATGAGCAAACAAGAAAGGCTGATCTTGCTAATCTGTGGATTTGGAGTTCGTTAGCATCCAAAATGTGAAGGCTTTTGGTTACAGGATGCAGATGTGAACAGCTGTGAAACTGATGGAGAGACAAAGCTTCACGGTTAGTGTTAGAAGGACTGACCACCATTAGCAGGGACTCACACAGTAGGTCCAGCAGGTAAAGAAACATGATTAAAGTCATTCAAATGAATGTAAACTTGTCCAGTGAGCAGACATCTGTTACGGGTCTCACAGAAGAGGGAAAAGCAGACGTACCCAGGAACTGTCTGTGCCTGATTACAGAGTGAATGATTCCCAGATTGATGGATCCCAGCCAGTTCCTGAGCAGATCCCGGTCACTCTCGAACCGTGAACTGGATTACACTATTTTCCCCCGCCTGCCAAACTTCTGCGTCAGCTCTCACCTCCAACCGTCTGCCCGACTGTTCCTCTTACCACACCACGCTTAGCAAGCAGCTTACTTTATCTGGTGCAGATGAAGAGGAGGAATGATTTAATGGCGTGCAGTAAAGTGGAGACGGTACATCGGGTGAGACGGTGAAAAGAAATTCGTTGCTTCATCCCACTCCAAAGTGCATCAATGGATTATTGGAGTGAATTACTTTTTGTCTTTAGTTTTTAGAGGCCTCATTGAAGCATATAAAATATAAAATGGGGGACTTTATAAGTCCGGTAAATGCGTAAATATCAAATAGCAGCACTTCTGGGGTCAAATAAGAGTCTTGAGCAGTTGTTCTTATTAACGTTTCTTCCTTTGAACCTTGATTAAAATGGGATACTTTCAGAAGAATATCTCTGTTTGTTTACTACCCAACTTAACATTGACCCATTCACCATTTACATACGGGCACATAACTCAAGGGGTGAACCAGAGTTGCATCTACATATAAAAGAGAAAACTAAAAATGTGTTAGATTTAACCTTTGGGCAGTTTTTCTTTTTCTTTTTTTTTAACCAACAACCTGTTATAAAAACATATTTCTTTCAGATTTGTTAAGTTGTTCTGAGAAAAATGCCAAACACAACACAGTTCTCAGACAGAGAAAAGGATCTTTGCAGCAACAATGCGATTCCCAAAGAGCCGTTGGCTTCAAACCCGGCATGTCTCGGCATGCTGTGCAGTGTTTCCTAAAAGGAATTTGTGGAATCTGGACAAGTGGAGGACAAAAGAGGAACTGTCAGGATCTGGTTTTGCCCTGATCCCTCAGAGAGATGCATCTAGACCTTCTGCCTTCTTTGTGTACAGTACAATTTATTTTGTAGGCTCAGTGTGACTTACTGAGCCATGAATTTTTTGACTGGTTTTATTTAAAAGTCGACATTTTAGCAGCAGGAAATCTCTCGCTTCTTCTTGTGTCTGTGTAAAATAGTGTTGCTGTGGATATATTCAGGAATATCTAAAGACCCCAGCCCTTGTGTTTCTTCTGTTTCCATTGGTTACGATTGAAACTGGGATTCCTGAAGGGAAAAGTTCAGCCCTGCCATGCTCTGAGCTGAAGGTTTTCAGCGTGGAGAGGCCGGGGTGCATCACCTGGAATTCCCTCTGTGCTTTGACCGATGGCCGCCCCTCGGCCAGATGGCGTCACTGCTGACGTCTTATGGAGGGCAAAGATCTGACCGGATCCGCTGGGGAGTTTTCCCCCCCGTCAGCTGTGTTAGCTCACCACGTAACAGCAGACACATGGAGCTGATAAGCCCTCACCTCTGGCTTTCACTAAGCAGCGTCCACTCCTGCGTCCTCCCTGTGACACATTCCTTGTGCTAGCTTCTGTCTGTTAAACTCAGAATAAGCTACTTCTAACCCAGGGTTTTTTAACTCCAGTCCTCGAGGGCCGCTGTCCTGCAGGTCTTAGAGGTTTCCCTGTTTCAACGCACCTGCTTCACATCATAGAGCCATTTGCAGGCCTAAACATTGGCTAAACAATGTCCAGACTAGAGGAGATACAATTTAATCAGAATCAGGTGTGCGAAGCAGGAAAATGTCTAAAACCTGCAGGACAGCGGCCCTCGAGGACTGAAGTGTGACACCCCTGTTCTAACCATTGCTATCATTGATCTACCCATAGGATGCACGAATCGCATGATATCACTGGAATCTACAAAGTTTTAGCCTCTCCCTGAGCACATTTTGAGCTGTGAAATCTTTAAGCCCACTGATTCCGACTGATGGGTCAAAACCTAAGATGATTTTTTATACTGGAGATCAACAAGTGTCATCAAGGAAAATGTCTTTTGGGGCAATTTTAGGGCCCTAATGGACACTTGGGGTTGGTTTAATGTCTGGTCTCCAGGGTAAAAAAGTGTATTCTAAGGTATTCCAGACCACTGATTTGTATAATCTCAAC